GAATCGATTCACAGTTCAGTAGGAACCATTTTAAAAAGTCCAGTAACGCACTCAGTCGTTTGCAGCTGGTTGTTATTAAACTGAGTTACAATCGAATGAAGCAACCGTCCTATCATTTGCCATGAAAACTTATGTTTTGGACATGTATTGTGAAGTAAATAAATGATGGCAGAATGTGCCTTTGCCAATAAACTGCCTTCAGTTGTTTGGAAATTAATTACTTTCTTGTGCAGCCATTCGGTGCTTGTAGCGGTGCTTGTTCAGATGTAAGTTTTCATCATTCTCCAGAACAATGTTTTTACTGTGGAGAAGCTCTGATGCCCAGATACATGACAGCATGTGCAGGATTAAAGTTTGGTCCATCTTAAAGTCTATGGATCTCTAAAAGTGCTGTAACATCTCAACATGTGAGGAATGGATTAGGAGTCAGGGCTGATTCCTGAGTCAAACAATGTAATGTAATCTGTACTAAAGCAACTTTCAATAACTGAGAGCTTGCCTGGCATCTCCACAACCCTACACATAGCCTGTGTAACCATGGATATGTATTTCACTTTCTGGAATGCTGTCACAAGCTGTGAAATCTCTGACATTAGTTACATGCAAATGCAGGCAAAGTTGTACAACTGTCAACAAGCGTTCCCGCTTCACGCCTCTGCAATATGGTAAAAATAAATAAAAAAACACTGTAGAACCTGTCTACATATATATGAAAATTACAATGGGTTTAGCTCAGATAGAGACAATCACCGAATGAATAAAAAAGCAAGTCAGATTTACACAGCACAGCAGTGCTGGAAACAAGACTGCCCTCACTATTTCAGGCCACATTTGACATATGTTTGAATATGTAAAATAGATCAAATGACACATAGCATGCTCCTTTTTAGCATAAGATGATTTCCAGCCATTGTGTACCAGAAAACAGACTTTAAATCTTGTACTCATTCTATTAGAATGCACAGTGCACTGAAAAATGGCAACATCTGTCTACTCTCAGGAGGAAATCATCACAACTACAGGGAAAGAGCTGCTGCTGGAGGCCTGCAAGCGGACTGGACCCTCTGTGGATTTCGGAGGGCTTTTCCCATGACTCCTTGCACACTAAAGACTTCAAAGGCAAATCTCTGTAGGGCAGCTAATGTAGCAGGGTGTTCGCTGCATTTCAAAGAACATGGTCAAAAATAAACAAGATTTCTGGTCCTCATGTTCTACCTCTGAGTTACAGTGCCTTATGATCAGGCCTCAACGGAAATACTTTTTTTCCTGTGCTAATTTTTAAGGAAAATATGTAGAATTCTGGGTTTAAACATTGTGAATGTGTTAAAGGATGCAGATTATACTAATTACGTAGAAATGTGTAGACCTTTGTGACACTGTATATTCTGTGCTGATTTTTTAATGAAAATATGAAGAATTCTCGGTTTATACATAGTAAAAATGAGTTAAATGAAGCAAATTATACAGAAATGCGTAAAACTTTAAGATTTTTTTTATTTATTTGTTTTGCTTTTTCTGTGCTGACTTTTAAGGAAAATATGAAGAATTCTGGTTTTAAAGAAGGTACATTGTGTTAAATGAAGCAGATTATACAAATTATACACCGCTGCGTAAAACTTTTAAAGACTTTTTTGCATTTTCTGTGCTGATTTTTAAGAAAAATATGTTGAATCTCTGGTTTCAAACTTGGTTAAAATGTTAAGTGAAGCAGATTATACAAATTATACAGTGATATGTACAACTTTGAGGCTTTTTTACATTTCCTAGACTGATTTTTAAGGAAAGTTTGTAGAATTCTGATTTTAAACATGGTAAAATATATGAAATGAAGCAGATTATACTAATCATGTGCAAATGTGTAGACACAAACTAGCCTGATGCAAAGGAACTGTGCACGGATCCGGGTATGAAAAGCCATTAGCGATCAATTTTCTGCTCTTTTATTATTTATTTAGTCAAATGCATTCATGTAGTGCAAGCATAAATGTATCTGAAATAGAATTATTATTTTCTGTTCTTTATAATAGGATGTGATGCAAAAAGCTATGTAAATAAGAACCAGTGTGGACACTGAAACAATGCATCCAAAGAAAGTGTGACTAAGGAAGGACGGATTTAACAACAACAGGAAAAGACTGTTTCCTCAGTCCATCCTTTAGTTGTACTGAAGCTTTTTCAATGAGAGAGATAGTCGTTCTGTATCTTCCACTGAGATAAATCAGATCTTCTATACTTCTGACCCAGCAAAATATGTGCACATCACCCTACAGAGGGTCGATGGTCTTTTTTATTTGTTCGCAATATGTTCCCACTCCATCTGCCCTGCCAGAAAGGCCATAATGGGACTTTTTATTAGGACGGATTGTCAAAGGTGTTCAATCTAATGTAGAGGTGACCGTGAAATGGCGAAGTTACCAAGATCCCAGTTCTGCTTTATCACCATTGAGCAGGATACTCCAGGTTTCTCCAGCATGATTGTGCTTGTAATTAGTGTGTCCAAGTCACTTTGAACTGGAAAATGCCACTACTAAATAATAAGAGAGATGCTTTAGTAGTTTTATGGGCTGAAAAGACACAAGGTTTGTGGCAAATGTACTGCACTGCAGGTTTTCTCAAGAAGTGGACCTTTCTGACCTGAAAATCTGATGCTTGGATGTCATAACCCAGAGCAAAGTTTGAATTTTAAAGGCTGGTTTTATGTTACATTGTTTAGGTTGTTTTTTGTCCCTGCTCCAGGCAATTTTTTAATAGAGCCCTGGGGAAACGTTCCTACTTTTAATTGCTCCAGTCATTCTCCCATACGTCTACAACACTCGATTATTTTAATGAATTGTTTCTTTATGAAGAAAATGAATCTATATACGTTCGTAAATATCAGTGCAAAAAGATATTCGCTACACATTTTACTTCCATAATGTGATGCATTTCTAAAATTAAATTTTTTTTTTTCACTGATTATTTGTGCACAAAAAGAACAGGAATGTGCATTTAAAAGGTATAGTACCATTCAAAGTTCAGGATCATTAAGATTTTTTTTTTTTTTTTAATAATACTTTTATTCAGCAAGGACACATTTTAGAATCTTGGGGTGTACTCCATAGCTGGACTATTTATTAAGACTAAAAATCTTTTTTGAGCACCAAATCAGCATATTAGAATGATTTCTGAAGGATCATGTTCCACTGAAGACTGCAGTAATGGCTGCTAAAAATTCAGCTTTGCCATCACAGGAACAAGTTACATTTGAATATATATTAAAATTTTTATATTAAATAGTTTAAGTAGTTGTTTTAAATAGTAATAATGTTTCTATATAATATTACTGTTTTACTGTATTTTTTATCAAATCAATGCAGTCTTGGTGAGCTTAAGACATTGTTGAAATAAACTCAAGAACTCTATTGCTTTTTACTGATAAGTTTTTACTAAGTTGTCTGGATGTGTATTGTGTTGTGCAAAGTGATGAACTGCTTTAAAAGAAAGATGGCAACATGTTTTACATAATTACATTTAAATATGAATGGGATATGGATTTTAAATGCAATGTCAAAATTTTCAGCATAATTCATATCAGCTCAAAGCTGGTATGAGCTTCATCAACCAGCATATTTCATTTAGAAGACAAATGACAGTGTGGCTGATAATGTCAATCTCTTTTTTTTTATTGAATATAAAAATGCTGAAAAGAATTCAGAAAATATTTACAAAGATAACAAATATCCAACAACAAATAACATCTAAATCCAACACAAAAAACATCCCTTCATGAAAAAGGAGGCTCTTGCAGCAAGGTCAGGGAAACTGACTGTACTGCATTTTAGTAAATACTCTATCAAGCTTTAACACTACACAGTGGCACAGACAAGACACTCCAAAAAGGGACAAAATAGTGCACTCTGAATTAAAAAGATGAACTAAATGCGTTTTTTATATATATAATTTTCTTTTTGCATTGAAGAGAATTTCAGAGGTCATATTATAAAGTATACTACGATAGAACTTCAAAAAGATAAGTCTTTGGGCTATAGAAAGAGTGTAGACAGGCAGGTGTTTGCATTTATGTAAGAATGCATATTGCATTTTGGCTAATTCAAGTGTGAAGACATGTTAATATTGTTATGTTATGTATTTTAAGTAGTTTGTGCTGTAATGGCAGTTACATTTTCAATTGAAAACACAAAAAAGTAAACATTCTTTGAACACCCGTAAAAAAAGGCTAAGCATGGGTATGATTCTGTCCAGCTTAAACATGGTATACAACACATTTTATGAAATCTTCAATGCCAGAGAAAAGGCACAATCTGCATTTTTGTATAAAGTCACCAAGAGTAGAAAAAAGGAGGTAAATGTTGGCATCTCAAGGCAATGTTGACATCAGTATAAGCCATATGGTGACTACCATCAAACTTCAGTGACTCTTAAAAGTTTTGCACAGGTCCAGTAGAAAGTGACCATTTACAAATGTGCAATATTCCGTTAAAATTATCATTAACAGAATGACCAAAAAAAGCGCATGCGAGTTGCTTACTGTAAAACAACAAAAAAAAAGGATACATACTGATGCATCTTACCTCCATTATGTAGGACCAAATGGATCAGCTCACGTCTCTTTTGATTCACTGACATTTGATTTCTACCCAGCTGCATTCTCAATATGTTCTGTTTACATGCGAGTACTTCTGGTCAGATCCTAATAGTTTTCTGCTGCACTCTTTGCAGTTGACATTAAATGCAGAACTTCTGTCTGCAGAAAGATTAAGTTACAAACGCAACAAATGTTAAAAATATGTATTTACTGCAGTTAAAACTGCGTAAAAATTGTTCTCTTTCATTACACTTTTTACTATGAGAGGATAATTTTTTTATCTTAATTTATGCATGTTTTTTATCTAAGGAAAAATAAACTTGCTTCTTAAAAACATCCTAAATTTGTTCCAGTTTGTGCTTTTGTACTAATTCCTAATTTAGTTCCCCAAAACAAAAAAGTACACAATATTTGAGTGTATGCAACATGACCATATAGATACATTTCAGTAATCAAAGCTTGGTTGACTTCTTCACATCATTACAATTACATTTCAGGTTAGTTTACAGGTTATGGTCCCATTATGTTGCCACTATGTATACCCAGCTTGGTTAATAGTGGTCCCAAAAATACAAATGTTTGGTTAATGGTAGTTCTATAAAAAAAAAAATGATTCAAATAAAAATCGGGAGAGGGCTGGAGGTAAACTTGAAGAAGAGACAAGGCACACATGTGACAGTATCCAAGTGAACTTAGGCAGCTGCGTATTCAATATGTGGTCTATAGAAATGCTGAAAAGGTGGTCCAGTGAATGGTCCAGAGTCCTCTTCTCCACAAAAAGAGACGCAGAAAAATAAAAGTAGGTCTACGACTTTTTCGATACATTGCCCTTAGCTCCCTTTCAGTTACGTCAGAGCTCAGTAATAATTCAACTCGACTTTTTCAATGTCTCCAATCAGCGTCCTTGCCAAGAAGATTCCCACCATCTAGAAGCAAAATCACAAGACACAACATTACATTGAGATTAACCTCAAAACTAAGTTTTAAAGACACATACTGTAGAAATGCAGACAGGTACTTTCCTTCCTGGACCTACAACTTCATTCTAATGTTTATATCATAATTAGTGTTTTTAAATTTAAAATACTTTAAACCAGCCCTTCTCAAAGTCCAGACTCCGGTACGGATCTGGACCAGGAGGGAATTCAATCCGGACCTGCCTCCACTTCCACTTCGTATTTCAAGTGCACTCGTATCACTCAGACTTCCATGGCATACACACACACACACACACAGGGGCGCACGAACCAGTGTTGCAGTGTTTACCAACCTTTTTGTAAGACAAAGCGCATAGCAACTAGCAACATTTTGGATAAACCTTAGCTTTCATTCAGTAGAATAATGTCACCGGTTTCACCTCGGAAGCTCGAGGTTTCACCTTCCCGACACAACTCGTCTCTCTCGACCAGCAGAGTTAGTAGCACATTCAACGGACCAAACCACAGCAGACTTTGAATGAATGAGTACAAAACAGTGTTTCCAAAAACCTATCAGTAAATATGCACAGTTTGTAACACAGACGGACGTTTGTGCTGCATGATATATAAAATAAAGTAATATAATTCACTGCAGTATAACAGCGTATTGCAGTTATAATTCAAGATTTTAGCAATTCAGTTGACTGCGAGTACTATTTCAGAAACAGAAAATATGTAAATGAGATCAGCTTTATAGGGCATTTAGTTGTATAAAAATGCAATACTGTATGTAACAGTTAAGAGAGTAAACGCAAGTACAACCTGATGACGTCATTAATATGATAATTAGCATATATAAAGTTGAATTGTTATATAAAGTTATAAGCATGTTTATTAAAAAAAAGTTTTGTAATAATTATTTCGGACCTTCTGACGTTCATGAGAATTCAGATTCGGACCTTTGAATGTAAACTTTGAGAACCCCTGCTTTAACCATTTGAATAGTGGTTTTGCTATTTTTAAGCTTTTGGTTGCTCTGTGAAAATAAAAGTGCCGAGAGTGACATCTAGCTGTAAAATATATTTTCCATGCAGTATTTTTTTCTTTAGTACATCCCATACCTGTAGCAATGATATGACTATGAAGACTCCAGCCACAATGTAGAGATTGCGTGGAAGCCACTCCTCTAAAGCCATCATGCATCCTTTGACATAAATGGTGTTGCCCCATTGAGACTTAAAAATAAATACAGTGTGTTATGTTTCACAAAATAAGTGACAGAAAATGTTATGCAATTAGTGAAAGAGCATTTTATTGTGCTGTGCAACACATAAAAATTTACAAGTTTATTCTCTGCAGGTATTCTGCTCTCCCAATTGCAATTTCCCTACTACCAACAGAGCACAAAAAAAGAATGATTATGAGAGGAGAGCGGAAGAACAAAACAACTTTAACATGCCCCATTCGTGAAAATGCCATTTTCATACTGACAGATATTAGTGCTCCCATCAGAGAAACTGAACCTTGGAAACTTGACTTTAATTTCAAAAACTACATTTTCTGGTGCGCAGAAGCTGACAAGTGTTTTAATTTATTCCACTTTCTGAAGCATGAACTCGCTCTACATCTTTCACATTTGGAAGGGAACGTGTACTGAAGCAGAACTTTTGCCAACAATGGCAAAGAATGAAATACCCGTCTTTCTAGTACAAATGTTCAAAATGCACTCACCGGTGTGCCAGATATTCTAACATCATATCCACACTGCGTGTTCACCACTGTATCCTGTAAAGAAAAGTCATAGGTTCATTCAAATTAGGCCTATATTCACTGTAAAGTGATTTATAATGGGGGGAAAAAATCCATGCATTAATAAATTTAAACCAAAACAAGTCATAACCTGTGCACAAGAGAAAGTTTTATGGTCAATATGAACTATTTTAGTTTCCAGAAAAAAACTGTATCAGCATGTTAAAAGGGATTCACAGGAAAATCTAAATTCTGTCATCACTTCCTCACTCTCATGTTGTTACAAAACCATGCTCCGTGGAAGACAAAAAAAAATAATTTTTAATAATATATTGGCTGTTTAATAGTATAATGGCAGTTAACTTTTTAATTGAAAATACAAGTTAAAATTCTTTGAACATCTGTAAATACACCCGTCATACAGGTTTGGAATGCCATAAGGGTGAATTATTCCACCACAAGCAGAGGGAGTCTTCCACATACTTGGCCTTCGAGTTTAAAGCACAATGGGTTCTTTTAAACAGTACTTTTATGAGAGTGCAGCATGCTGAAATTATCTTTTATTCTGTGGAGGGCTGCTGTGAATAAGAGAAGAACCTACAGCAGGGTCGCTGATGCAGCAGGAAAAGGGCACTCCACATTTCTCTCTGCTGGGGTTATCCTTTGTGCAGTTAAAATACACATTTAGATTCCAGTCGTTGGGGTCTTTAGCTCCACAGCAATGATTCTACAGGGGGGGGAAACATGTACGTTCAGAACCTGCAACAATTTATCCACAATTGTGCATATGTATTAGTGATGGAATTTCTTATGGCCACCTTTTAACCAGACTTTCACAAGCATTAAGCCATATGCTTCATCAAAATCCCCCAAATTACACCAATCATAATTTACATTTTGGAAAATGTAAAACATTTATTTGAGAAAACATAAAAGCGATGTGTCCACTACTAGCTATCTATGGATTTTTCATTCTCTTTATGGTTTTGTTCAGGTTAAATAATACTTAATTAAACATTAATTATTTAAGCAAGTACTTGTGAAAAGACATGTACAAAGCGAGTAGTGAAGCATACAGGTTTTTTGTTTTTTTTATGAAACCGTTTCACGTATAATATGTATGTGGTGGTTGGCAAGTTGAGTAAATAGAAAGCATTCATTTTATTTAATGAAAATTATCTTATACTTAAAAACTCTCTCAGACTTACCAGTTTCTGGAGAGAGTCGATCAGATTCTGCAGGTCAATGTCTTCCCTGTAGGCCTTTACATTGGCCAAGAAGAAATCATTGATCCACTCCCTAACTTGGCCCTGGAACACAAACGCCAACACCGCAGCCGTCAACTCCAGGAAGAAGATGAAGCCAATGACTCCAGAGAACTGCAAGACAAGGTCAAGAAGCAAGGCGAAAAATCAAAAAGCAGCATTTGACAGTATAATAGAATTTGTTCATTTTTATGTCTGGAAACTGTTTGCATTAACACATCTTCGAGTTCTTATCTTGTACAGATCTGGCACTGCAAGGCATGTAAACATTTTCTTTGGAGACTTCTTTATTTAGAATTGACCAGCATATGTGATGGCTTCAGTATCACATCGAAAGTATGAATACTTACAAACTTAAGAAGGCAGATGTTTTCCCTGAGAGCTCCAACACACCCAGCAAAACCCAAAATGAAAGTGACTGTGCCCACAACAAGCACCCCCCAAACTGGGTCAAAACCATGCAGACGTGTAACTTGTGTCAGATCTGATAAAACACCCTGTGGGCAAATCAAGGAACAAAGAGTTTACACTGGTTGTTTTTCCCTGAGTCACTAAAACGCATTCACAGCTACATAACTAGCAGTGTTTTTTTTGCAGATTAATTGCGGACTACCATTCAAAAGTTTGAAGTTGATAAGTTTTTTTTTATTATTATTTTGAATGAAATCGCTTATGCTCAGCAAGGCTGCATTTATTGGATCAAAAATACAGTAAAACTGTAATATTGTAAAATATAATACAACATTTTACTGACCCAAACTTTTAACAGTGGTGTATGTAGGTAGTTATGCAGTTTAGATCACTGCATTTTTTTTTTTTTGATAATATCAAATAACTGATATAGGAAGTTTCACAAGTGTCTACTTACCTTTTCACTCCAGGCCCAGAAGCCAATTGCAATGAACGCTGTTCCAGCTAGCTGAGAACCAGAAGAGGTTAAGGAGAAATTAAATGATTAAATGTTGCATCAGAATAGTCAAGTTCAGACAAAACAACTGAGTGTGTGGTTAAAGCAGACGATGCAGATGTGACTAATGAACACCAAGAAATTAGGCAAAAGCAACACTGTTTGCAATAATAAAGTTTAAATACACTACCATTGAAAAGTTTGAGGTTCGTTAGATTAATATGCGTCAAACCAAATCTAACAGTATTTGAACAGTAGTGTATACAATTTTTTAACATACTAAAGATAAAAAGCTTTAAAAGTATGGAAAATAAAGTGTTAGACTTAACACTTCATATCTAAAACAGGTCATGAAATATTCATAGCACACTGTGCAGTAATAACAATGCTTGTTTCACAGGAGGAGCCATGTTCAGTATTGAAAACAGGAAAATAGGTTAGACGCTGTTATCTTAGAAACCTCCCATGCTTCCCACAGAAGACACCACAAACTACTGCAGCAATACGCTAGTGTTAATCTGTTTCCTGTTGACGTAAATATGAAAACCTGAATGTCGTCAGGCTGACTTTTTCTCTTGATATATAAAGTATCAGCTGTGGGTGTTCACTTGCTGTGAAATGACCCACCCAGTAATGAAAACACAGAAAGTATGAAACATCTGTGCACACAGCGTGAAACTAAGTGGAACAAATAATCATGAAATGTGGGGCCGGTCTATAGATCATGTCATCTGAGCAAGAGTGGCAGAAAAGACCTTATCTAATGTTAGAACTGGAAGGGTGGCCATTTAAACATGATTTGCAGTGAAAAACGTATCAAACGTTAACTTACCCAAAAGATAATGTTGTAGCTGAACATGAGGTATTTGTAGCAACAGCTGACCTCTGCATTTTCATATCTGTAATAGTGCATCTCTTTTTCTGTAACAAAGAGAAAGAACACTTGAGATTACCACAGTAAAACATCTAGAGACCTTTATCACATATTGTAACTTAAAATGGGTACTAACAGAAGTTGAAATGCATTTAGATGTGCAGATGTGTTACGTCAACCAAATTACGTCACATCCTCAGGATTAGTCAATTGCACAAGTGTTTAATTACAAAATTCACAGTTCACCACGTCAAGTCGATGCCAGTAATACAGGCCAAAGTCTGTAGTTCACTTCCTGTGTGCATTTATAGAAAGAAAAAAAACTTCCCTAAAATTTGTTAAAGGTTTTTTAATATATATATATGTTTTTTAAGGTAAAATTAACTTTTCATACAAGCAAAAGTTTACATACTTTTATGTAGACCCCAAACTGGGGGTTCATGAGGGAACTGCAGGTAGTTCATAAGTCGATAAAAATGTATAAATTCATGTAAAGAATTCATGTAAAATAATGTGTATAAATGTAAACTTAATATAAATAATTTAAAATAAAATGTGTAAAAAAAGTTAATATTTTATGTTTACTGGCATGTCATGTGACCATTAACTGACACCAGAGAACTACAAATATGTTGCTCATTTATTAAAATAAAATTATTAAAATATAAATCTCAGGGAGTACCAGCAAACACTCAGGTCAAAGAGGTTCTGCTGCCAAAAAGGTTTGGGAATGCCTGCTTTACTTCATGTACAACAACTACTGTACTTATACATTCACAACCTAACATTTTAATGATTAAAAAAGTGCTACATAATAATTAATAAATCTAATTTAATTAAATATCTAATTAATAATCTAAAATAATTAATTATATTAAATGCCCTATCACTAACCTGCAGCATACAGAAAACTATATGGGTTTATCGAGATTCTGCTTCAGTCATTTGTATGTCTCGCATAAAAAAAACAGCAGGACTTTCTAAAATTACCAATAAAAACTGCTGGTTAAATATCCCGGTTTAGTGTTATGTAATCATAATAATTCCTATTTGCATTACCTGCCAAGCGGTACCAACAGCTGCAAACCACCGAAGATGTTTCAGTTCTGTTATTCTGGCGCAGAAATTCCGTGTGTACGATTGTTTTCTTTTTATTATCACATCAGGTATGGCCTCGAAATATTTTCGTGCCCCACGGACTTACAATGAAATATATCCATCCAGTAATGAAAAAATCGTAAGCGAATACACACACAAGATGGCTCACAAGCTCTGCCCGCACTTCTTCCTCTTACTAGTTAGCTAAGTGGCTAGTTGATTAGCAAAGTTGTCAGCTCACTTTGTAAAACCAGCTGCCAAGGCAACTCTCGGTCTTCCACAACATTTAATATTCTCGTTTAGTAGATTTTAGAAAGTTAATGCAGGGAACACCGTCAGTACTATGATAATATAAATTATTTTTCTTCGATAAACGCAAGAACAATGCCAACAGCTAGATATTGTTGACTAACCAACAAACTTTACCACCTCACGACTTTTCAAAACATATAATTTAGTCACAATTACCTACTTATTACAAATATACAATATACTAATATATAAAATCTTTACAACAACAAGTTAAACTAAGCCGCAGGTTAAATTATTTACGAGGGAGGAGAGTGCGCCGTATCTCTGCGTGAAACGCAATGCTCGACAATTCACGTCCGTTTACGTATTTACAGTTCAAAAGCACAACGCAAAGTAGTCTATTGGCGATTTTGGCAAAAGATTTTATTCCGTGTTGGTACATATAAATAAATAAGCAGTTATAATATGCAATCTAAAAAGGCTTACCTCTGTTTTCATGTCACACAATGCCTCAGCTTAGTACTTACAGTTTGAAAAAACTCTTAACACACCACACACACACACACACACACATGAATTTAAGACTTGGCGTGTGAGTGTGAGAAAGCATCGGGGAAGCACACACCCGGTGCTCCCTGCATTCATCTTATGAGAGTAATGATAACTCACTTCAAAACACAACCGAATCTCTTTCACGATTATTCACTGGGGAATCGCTTATATCAATCATTTTATTAGACAAGCAATATGAGTACTGAAGACAAGCAGTATTTTATAAATATCTAGTGTTTTATTTGAATCACTTAGGCCTACTTTTTTATTTTATTACTATATTTTATTTTTAATCTACTGTTTAAACAATAAATTAAACAGAAACAACAACAACAATACAGCACTTTTCACGATACAAATCATTGCAAAGCAACTTTACAGCAAATTAAGTTTCTACAATATTTAGTGGTAGCTTAGTGGTGACTGTCGGTTAATGTAGGCCTACATATGGCAGAAATGTACGGAAAAATCAATTAAAGACGTAATCAAACAGATGATGAACACTATTAACAGCAATTATTATATGATGCAATCAAACTTATAGCAAAATGTGGTAGTTCTGTATGTTGTTTCAGGGTTGGCATCATCTGAGGTCCTCTGAGGGGTTGGCATCATCTCTTCTCAGGTGTTCTGGATCCAGACTGAAGCTTGAGTTACGGCAAAAACAGAGAAACAAATAGAGACATAATTAGCGTAGCTGCTGTTCCAACCAAGCAAAATTGATTTGTTTAACCCAAACTAAAGAATAATAATGTGCATTTGATCAATAATAGGTTTAATAGTAATAATAATAATAATAATATATGTTGTAATATCTCCTATAAATATATAACTACTTTATGCATGCAATTCAGGTTCAGGTTAATCCTGCCACATCAGCTGCTGTGCTATAAATTAGGATGTATAAATAGGAAAAGACATAAGATTATTTGCTACTGCTCCTCCTGCTCTCTATTTATCACCTTTTATCTCTTTCCATAACACACACGTCTTTCCTTGCTGTAATACACAGAGTAACTGTACTTGGAAGCAGTATGAGACACTTCAAATGTAGTCTGTCCAAGAGGAAAATAAGACCCACAAGAACCATTTCCTCCTTCTTGTTTATTGCTTTGAAGTGTTGTTTGAATGGATATGTTGAAAAAAAGACAAGCATCCCCAAAATCACACATCCTGCTGTAGGAAACCAAAGCACTGTGGCACAAAATAGCAACAAAACTGGGATCACAGAACACACAATGGAAGAAAAACAGATCAGTACATCTTTTATTCAGTTCTAAGACACTTTTTTCTGTAAATTATTACGGGTTTAATATGTACACACACACATTTTAAAAACAGAGAATGTGCAATAGTGCATATACTACTCCCTACCAGTCCATTCTTACATCTAAATTGTGTAAATTACAACCATATTTATTGTGTAAGGAGTGGGGACGTGAAGTTTCTGGTTTGTTGACCATGCTTTTGGTGAATATTTCTACTGTCCAAAAGCTCCACCTGGCTTTCAGCTGGTTGCACCATGACTTATTTTGTTCTGAGATAGACAGGAATGTTTTTAAAGTAGGGAGTAGAGACATGAAAACCTATGGGGAGAGAAAGTGCTGTTGGCAGGTGTACAAGGACTGTAGATGGAAAAAAAAAAGTGTGGAGACATCTCCAGCAGATAATGGAGACATATTTCAGTTACCAGGGAATTGCGAAACCACATCAAAAGCCCTTGTTCACACTCCTAAAATCCAGATGTGAAACCATGGAGATCACTGTGTACCATTTGACCTTATATTGTTATTGGGTTCATTCTGGTGTTGTTTTTTATAATTCCAGAGGTTTTTTATTTGTACATTAACAATCCAAAAGTACAATAAATATATCTTAATCATGCAAGTCTTTATAGTGCTAGTTCCACCCTTCTTCAAACCAATCGCCCCTGTTGGTTGATCAAAGAGCTGCAAGCAGGTCTTGCTCATTTTATGCAAATCACTTATGTCCTCTTCCTGTTACATTATTCTTTCTATAAACACCCCACACATACAAATAAAAAATTCATAATGTAAAAGCAGCCGGGGGGGGGGTCAATGCATTTTGAACATACATTTAAAGTGACAAATAACAAATATTTTAAAAGTAATACAGAATTATTGTTTAGAAACAATTTTTTAAAGATTTTTTATTGTCTCAAATCTAAAACCAAATAAAAGTGGAGAAAACCGCTTGTTTTGAGTTTGTATGTTGCTTGAACACACTTTCTGATTTACGTCAGAAAAGTGATAGTATTGATTATCAACAGCTGTGAAGAGTGCCTGAAGAGATTAATATCGCACATTTTTTATGGATGACAGGTCCATTTCACCCCTCATTAATCAAACACACCCACTTTGATAGTTGAGTCTGAGTATTATTCTGCTGTAGTCTGAAATTAATACTTGTATTTTGCAGGAAAACATTAAATCGATTAAAAGTAACAGTAAAGACATTTGTGATGTTATAAACGATTTCTAATTTTAAAAAATGCTAAACGTATTAATAAAAAAATCTTGACAGTTTCCAGAAAAATATCAAGTAGAACAATTGTTTCTTGAGCAGCATATCAGCATATTAAAATTATTTCTGAAGGATCGTGTGACACTGAAGAATGGAATAATAACTGCTGAAAATTTGCCATCACAGGAATAAATTGCATATTAAAATATAAACAATAAAAATAATAATAATATGTGTAATAATATTTCACAACATTACTATTTTTAGTGTATTTTTAATCAAATAAATAAATTAATTAATTAAGACATCTTACCAACCTCAATCTCTTGAATGGTAGTGTATACACAGAAAAACGATAGTATCAAGCATATATACTGTATTTCACCTCATGGATGACAGAAACTTTGAGTTGTGCAACATTACTCAGAATCTAGTTTGATGATTATCAATGTTTTCATTGAATGCACTGAGATCATTTAAAGTAAAAAAAAAAAAAAAACAGAAATAACAATAGCAACATATGCAGAACAATTGCATACAAATCTGACATTTGAAAGAACATATAAGGAAAAACATCTTTATTTAAATGCAAGTGCAGCAATTAAATGAAGTCATTAAAGATGTCTGTAAACAATATACACACAGCTGCATAATCCTACTTTTACAATGATCATTAAATAAATAGCAAGATCAAAGCCCATTTAATTTAGTCTGAAAACGTCTGAAATCTCTCATGTTGTTACTTTCAGATCAGATAAATAATACGTAATTGTTCATCCATGTCCTTAGTCAATAAATACATTGAATAAATAGCCATAAATAGATTGTACACAGCAAAATTCAGCCGTACACATGGTTGTCCTCAGACGAGAGGCCGTTTAGTCCTTCACCCTGCCACCAGTCTCCTTGCAGCTCTCCCAGGATCTCCTGTAGGGACAAGGCCGGCAGCTCAGGCAGAGGCCCGTGGTGAATCCTGCTTTCTTGTTGGCTCTCCATCCTCTGAACTTCTGGGTTATCTACACAGAAAGAGCTGGAAGCTGGAGGAGTGCCCTCCAAACCACCCTCCCAGCAGCCCGAGTCTGGAGTAACAGGGGTCAGCGGCTGAAGACTGTTATGTTTTTCAGATGGAGAGTAAAAAAAGCCTTGGAGTGAGTTGGGATTGCACCCATAGGCGTCAAGATGATATGGACTCCACATGGAGCTCATAGGTGACCTCCTGTCATACCTTGCAGCCCAGTTTGGAGGCATCTGATGCTCTGGGCATAGCAGAGGAGGGCTGCAGTGAGCGTTCATGGCTCTGGCCTGATGCTGGTGTCCGTATGAAGGGGTGCAGTAGCTGGAATCATCACCGATCGACATGGAAGATGGAGTGTCACATCCATAAAGTCCATCCCTTTCCATTTCTTCCTTAATATGATTGGGGTACGCTGGTGGTGGAGTGCCTAAAGGCCCAGTGCCAGCACCAGACTCACTGTTGTTGCTGTTAGAAGAGTGTAGCTGAACTGGTGAATTCTGCATTGCACTAAACGGTGATTCGGACTGCCATAGCGGCTTCTTTCCTCCCTTGCATTTCAATGTACGAGCTCTCCTATTCTGGAACCATACCTATTGCGAGCGGAGACATCAAGATAAAGAGGGTCAGACTCATAAGAATACAGTTGATAGATTAGACTCAACCATCTACTGCATACAGATAAGAGCTTTCCTGTCTAAAGATTCAGGTTAATCATTGTGAGATGACATCCAGCTATGGTGGCATAGTCAGGATTGTTATCTGTGCCTGGTATGTCTATTGTTTACAGGCTGTACGGTTTCTAAACTAAACAACAGATAAACACAAAAACGCTTACGTCATCTCAGATATTGACAGTGGTATCAGTGACAGCAAACAGTATGTTTTCACATAAGGCCTTATTAGCATATCACTGCACCTGTTTTATGTGTATCTGCTGATTTTGTAAATGCATAAGAGATACAAACAAGGAGAAAAAGGGGTTGTTTCCTTATGTACATAGTTTAAAAAAAACTACTGTCAAATCTGTATGATTTTTTTCCTCTGTGGAACACAAAAGATAACTTTTTTTTTTAAATGTCTCTCCTTTTTTTTTTCTCCTTCGTATAATAAAAGCTAGCCACGTCCAAATTTGTTTTAGACCCCACTGACTTTCATTATAATTGGTAAAAAATAACTTAAACATTCTTCAATATACACAATTCTTCAAAAATACTTTATATCCCTTTAAATTCTAGTAAATTGAGTGTGTTTTTATACATAACGTAACCCACCTGTATGCGAGACTCTGGCAGGCCTGTAGTTTGGGAGAGATTCTCTCTGAGGCTGATTCCTGGGTAAGGGTCTGTCTCAAATGTGGCTCGAAGAAGCTCAACATGTTCCTTTGAGAAACTTGTTCTCTTCCTGCGACTTGCACTTCTTGCTACAGTACCGCTTCCAGATGTTTTAACAAATGCATCTGAAAAAGAAGATAAATTAAGCGTTAGCGTTAGTTCTGGCAGGTCACGTGAGTCACTTGGCTTTCTGATATTCCTTGCTAATCAGACTCCTTTATCTTGAATAAAGTGTTACACTTAAATATCATTAAGTGCATTAATGATATCTGCCTTGTTCTGTTCTGTTAACCCTATGGGGGTTATTATTGCTGCTCTCCCTGCTCATTCAGGACAGGCTGCATGGATGGGCAGGGAGTTTTTTGCCCAGAACAGAACCATACCGACAAACCAAACTTTAGGCTAAGTATCTATCATTTTGACGATAGAGGACCTGACAGAAAAATGAGTGTGAAGCTAAACATAGTGTCATCATATTTCTCATCCTTCAGTTAGTGAAAACTAAACTGCACAAACTTAAAATATATTAGAAACACAACATCAATTCAATGTATGAATACTTCTTCAAAATAATAATATATGCAGCAGAAAAACTGCAACAGTGCCTGATGTTTGGTTTGAGATTGAGAAGCTTGGAAAAACAAGCTTTTTCTTATGAGATCTTGCATATTAAATCCATCAAAATTATCACCATTCAGTAATGCTTACCAGTACTGTTGTCTTCCCACATCCTGGAGGCCAAAGGGCTTACAGGATTCTCAGGCTGCCAGTGAAGGTCTGTTGTGTTTGATGCTCCTCAGGGATATGATTTCTGACCCCTTCAGCTCTGTTTTATACCTGTGCCCTCTTGTCCCTATCCCATGACCCCCTTTTCACCCCCACCTCCTCCATTTAGAACTGCTTATTATGTATGAAATGGAAATGACATGAGGGACACTCTTTGAAGGCCAGCACAAGACATTAAGCATTCGAACACATCTTTGTCAAAAAAGTAATATTTTTGTCTTTCTAAGCACTATAGAACATTTAAAAGCTTTCTTTTCAAATATCTTTTCAAAATCAAAAACCTTGAGAGAAAAATGTAGTGAGCTTTATTAGTTACTAACATGCTATTTATATATCTTACTGTAAAAAAAAAATCTACCTATTTCAACTTAAAAACGTAAAAGTTCAGTTGCTGCCTTAAATTGTTAAGTATAACCAGCTTGGTTGTACAAGTCATTTAAACTTAAATTACATTAAACCAACTTAAATGTCAAGTTGAATTTCATATAACTTTATGTTTAAATTTAACATAAGTTGCCATCATATCACTCATTGTTTCATATCACATCATCATATCATATTTTACAGTGTATTTATTTTATTGTTTGTTTGGTTACGCATTGCATTTACCATTTTAAACATAATATGAATAATATATGTATATTATTCTTACATAAAAAAAGTAATAAAGACTTCAACTTTATGATATTTTTTTATAAAAGTGATTGAAAAAAATCAAAAATGTCAAAAGATAAAAATAATTTGAAAATGAAATGTTAATTATTTTGTTTCAAAATTATATATTTTATTTTATATTTTCATATACTAAGGCTAAAAATAAACAGACTGTACGCTAATACAGAAATATTGTTTTGGCACATTAATCAAACATTTTGTGTAGAATTACACTTATTGGAAAAGTGTGTAAATGGATGGTGTCTTTTCCTGTAATTGCTCTCGCCATTCAAGCATTGTAATCAATAAAACAATAGACTCAAGAAAATATTAACTAACACAGACATTAACAACGTGCTTAACATAAGTTCAAGCGAGAGGCTGTGAATGGATATCTCTTTGTTTCATCTGATCTCTTTTCAGAAGGAACATAAAAGTAACATGTTTGGAGGCCAAGGAAAGCAAGGAGAGCGATCTGTGGAATGATTAATAGGACAGTTTGCACATGTGAGTATTGTCACTCCCTCTCTCTGCTCCAGAGGATCCGGAGGGGATGACAGTCATTTCAAAGTCAAGGTAGCTGCCAAGCTTGTCAATGCAGATGAGCTGTTTAGATGTGCTGTTGAATTAAACCAGACTAAAGCAAACTGAACCCATACAATCACAAAGGGACCTTTCAGTCCAACATGAAATATAACAGATGACTAGTTCATTTAGATGGTTTACCAGAATGAATCAATACATAATGTCCATATCTGACAAGATAAATATATTAATCAATACATAATGGCATCTGGTTAGCTATCAGAATTTAAGTGAAGTCCAGGTTCATCTTATATTTTTTTGTATTCTTAAATCATTTAATTATGGTTACTGACTGTAAAAGATGCAAGATCACAAAGGTTTTGGCAAGACTGCATTGAATGTATAATCTCTGAAGTTCTTTGAAGTTGTCATGATTTTTTTTTTCTTTATCAGAAAACAAAAAGTAGCATTACATCCCCCTATTAATCAAACACACCCTCTTAGCTGATACTGCATTCTGCTGCGGTCTAAATCCAATCAACCTTTGTTATTTGAAGATAAATGTGCAAATCTTAGAGTTTTCGTTTATTTGTTTTGTATGCAATTACATGGTAACTTTACTTTTGTACACACTACTCTGTTTAAAGGTTCTTACTTGTCATCTAGAACCTTTAACATTGTATCCTTCAATCCTTCCTTTGTACAAAAGGTTCTTTATAGTGGAAAAATCGTTAAAGAACAAAAAAGACCATTGGGAAAAAAAATCGGGGGAAAACGGTTCTTTTAAGAACTTTTCAACAAAAGATTCTCTGTGGAGCCCAGAGTGGTTTTTCTGTGGCATTGCTGCTAAAACACTCTTTTGGAGCCTTTATTTTAATAGAAGTGCATAAGCAAATATATTTCCATATTTTAAACTTTTACCTTTCTGTTCTTATATAAACTCCCTTGTCTAGCGGTTCTATAGGTAGAACAGTAGGTGGCAGCATTGAGCTTTAATAGCATTATAATACTGTGGCATGATTTTTCACTGATACTGAGTTCTAAAATCAGATGCATTCAAACATTACAGATGACATTTTCACTGCATTTTATAGCAGTTGATTTTTAGGGAATAAAATAATTGCTGACTTTTTACCTGTAGAAGGTGGATGTCTCTCGGAAAAATAACATTTTTAACTCTGATGTAACTAAACAGCCTAAATAACTCAAGTGAACATGTAGGGTGAATTCGGGTAATCTGGGACACCTAAGCTCCAGTGTGTTTATTTCCTGTTCTAACAACATTTAGTAAACAGGACTTTTACTATGATTTTAGCATAGATGTCATGTGACTGAAATCACATGACTTCATTGGGGTGATTCCACAGAAAGGGGCGGGGCACTTGTCAATCAAGAAGCTCCCCTGGGAATTGCATGACAAGGTCAGTGACATAGGATTCTGACTAGATTCATGTTAAGGACATAAATCTGTCATAAATAATACAATGTTCCTAACTGTTGTCAAAATATGTTTGTGATCTATTCAAGCAACAAAGTATTTATTCAAGTGTTGAAAATGTGTTTTAGTTTTTTTTTCTTTCAAACATTTTTTTGTTGTCCCACATTATCAAATATGATTGAGAATGTGGGACAGCATGCTTTGGGTAATCTGGGACAGTCTTCAAATGGAGGAAATATGTATTTAGGGACTTTATAAGTCTAATGACAAGGGATAATATATGCTATAATGAGAAATGGGTGTTAATGTGGACTACTGGAGGTTATAACATTAGCATAAATTCACAGTAGCTAGAAGCTAGCTAAACCAGCTAGCTAGAGAGATGCTACAGAGATGGAATCTGCGTATTCCAGTAGCAAGCAAAGGTATCAGGATGAAGTAAACAGTTAATTTAATTTCCCAAATTCCCAGTTAGTTTAGTATATACAACGGTTCAAATCACTGAGCAGGAGGGGGATCTGTGCCCAGGCCAGTTTACAATGTTCACAGACACACGCACACACACATGCATGCACACCCACCCCCCTTCTCCACACACACACACCCACACAGTCATTAGTCAGCTAAAATATGAAAATATCCATGGCCTATAATTAACTCAATGAAATGTATTACAGAATAGTACAGTGGTTCTCAAACCTGTCCTGGAGTACCCCCAGCCCTGCACATTTTGTATGTCTCCCTCATCTATCACACCTGATTCAACTCATCAGCTCATTAGTGGAGACTGCAAGACCTGAAGTTGGTGTTTCAAATATAGGGAGACATACAAAATGTGCAGTGCTGGGGGTACTTCATGGAGAGGTTTGAGAACCACTGGAATAGTAGATTGGCTAATAGGTATATTAATACAATGTTAAACAAATGTTAAACAATTTTAATAGTTTTACATTTATTAAAATTAATTAACACAGTAGATTGGTCATCCTGTGTACAGAAAGAAATAATTTTTCTTGATATTGAAATATACATTTCCTTACTGAGATTTCTGTACTTGTCATTTTTTTCATAATGCTTTTTAAAAATTGGTGATATTGTGTTTGGCATGCATAAAGTATGGTGAATATAGGCTTTTTTTTAGGCCTAATACATATGTCCCAGATTACAAAGTGACCTGTCCCAGATTATCAAATTCAGGCACAATTTTTTTTTGGCACAAAAAACACTATTAGGTGTGGCATGTCTCCTCTGGGTATAATATCAACATTCTTTCTTCTGGTGTGGTTAGAAAACATCTTAGGGATTTCAGAAAAGTCTAATGTGTTGATCTAATGTGTTAGATAGATATCGAAATAAATAGCAGAAGTCAAAATTGCAAAAAATGTCCCAGATTACCCAAATTCACCCTACTTGCCCAGCTCCACCTGTCAATGATCTAGCACCCCCTCAGCACCTGTGTTAAAAATTCTCCGGCGCCTCCCCTGCCCACAACTGATCGTTTATTTTTTCCTCACGTGTCTCACCATTGGTAACAACAATTCAAAACGGACACATTTCAAGTGACACGGGAAAAAGACACTGAAAACTTCAGTGAACATCAGAAAAGCAGCGTGCACATTTCTAGTTGAAAATTAAAGGCCATCAACTGACAAACGGGAATCATCGTCATTCAAGTCAGCAGCAAGAGTCAAAGATAGTCCACAGTTTACTTAAGTTATTCTTGACTGTGTTGTATTGACTGCTTTGATGCGTTGCAATACCGTAAGGCATTGTTTTCATGCTTACATCCAGAAAAAAAAATTGTTGCTTTTGTTTATTTATTTATTTAGTCTGTATCCAGATCAGATGGTCACTGCAGTCACCCGGATCCAGTACGTATTCAGACCAGATGGTGGATCAGCACCTAGAAAGGACCTCCAC